CCAAACATTCTAAGGGTTAAAAACATTCTTAAAATCTTCTGTGTTCCTTATTATTCTCTTATTTATAATGGACCTTATCAAAAATGTTCAGGCTGAGTTTGTCATTACTTCATTGTGTACGTTCTCTTTATGTTAAACTTTAAGATTAATATCCTCATCACTTCACTGTAAGTGCATTTGTTTAATTGTGCAATTCATGTTGTCAAGTCTAATAGTTATATTTCCAGTTTTATCTTATTCAACCTACAGAAACTGACCACTGCTTTCTTCTTGTAACATTTCTTTTCCTCTACAGTTTTACAGTGTTGACACATCATTCTCTTGTTTTTCTCCTGCTTCATTTTCTGTCTTCTCCCCTTTTATAAATTCTAATATATAATGGGATTGTCCTGCACTTATAGATTATATAATTTTCTAAAAATTCCATGGCTAGTACATGAACTATCTTTCAAGTCAGTTATTCTTTATTCAGATGCTTCACTATGCCTAATACACTGCATAATACTTCAAGTTGCTGCAGTATAATCTCTCTAATGTTAGTTGAAATGGAGAACAACTTTAGCTTTCTACTAGTTTCACCTTTCACAATTCATTTTTATTAATTGAAAATTTAAAATATTGTTACAATTTTATTCTTTGATAATATATAACCAAATATTTCTATGCGTGCATATCTCTTCTAGACAAGGAAGTAGAGAGAAAAATCCCCTCAAAATTCTATAAGTGTGTTGAATTTTTATTTTGTTTTGTTTTTACAAGGAGTTATCAGTTGCATTTCTTGAAAATATGATTAGTAAATGAAGAAACTCATTTTCATGTTTTAGTTAGGCATGTTTAATCTGTCATAACATTTTACATGGGACTGTTAGCTCACATTCTTGAAATTATAATAGTTTTTACCCATGTAATGTCATAGCCTATGCCAAGATCATTGTTAGTAGCTGAAAATATTAAGTATTTAAGATAAAATTTTAATCCTAGCATATATTTGATATATAATGTGCTGATTCCAGATCTATGGGTTATTTCAAAATGCTGCATTTACACATACAATGTAACATCATCACAGGTGTTGTAGAACTTAGATTCAATATGTTCTAAGCTTGCTTTTTTTAATTTTTCAGATTGCATTCTCACAACACAATACAATCATGGATCTTGTGCAGTTTTTTGTCACCTTCTTCAGGTAATTTGTTTTTACTGACTTTGAATTTATTATACCTGTCAATATGCTACAAAGTTTATAATTATTTGACTTTAAAATATATACCATGTATTAAATATGTATATTAATGTCATTAAATACGTACCATAGCAGAAGGAACATAATTCAAATATACTTGTAAAAGATTATTTTACCATTCTACTACTAAACAGCTAAATGGATTCTGTGGAAAGAACATAACTTTCTCTGTACTGTAACTAAAGTCTGCTTCAATTAAGAAAACTAACAGTATGTGCAAAACATGGATTAGTTATGTCTACTACAATGAAATGAATTCAGTTTTTTTTCTGTATTGTATGTATGGTGAAAGAGAAATAGTTGTTTTCTTTCCTGAAGGAATTAGTAACGTAAAAATACTATAAATGCCTTTGAATAGAGCATAATTCTCCAGAACATTAATTGTGTGAGATATTAACGGTAGAGTTATAAAAGAAAAGTTCCACAATTAAAAAACTTCAGGAAATGCTATATATACTAGCGTTAAATAGGGCTCTTTTGGTTTGTTTTTAAAAGACATTAGTTTTCAGAATTTTTAATATGCTAATTTTAATATGTTAATATGGTAATTTGTAAAAGAGATGATCAGGTAGTGTTTGTAGGAATTTTTCATGGTATATAAAAACTTTTCAGGGAACCCTTTTCAGGGAACACTTATTTTCATTTTCATGAGATGTAAATAAAGACACTGGGTAATGTGGAAAAGGTGATTTTTAGCCAGAGAATATTTGTATTGTGAGATCTTGAAGATGTTATTTTTGTCAACATTGTTATGAATATGTGCCACTTACTTATGTCTTTGTACACATAAGACAAATGTGACTCCTCCTCTGGCACATATACCCCCACATCATAGCATGCAACTCTGAAGGTAGAATGTGATATGAACTTTGAGTTCTATTCACCAACTCAGCTGTCCTGGCATATACCATAAAGGATCCATACAATTCAATTTTTGAAACATGATGTTTTAGGTACTTCCTAAACATCTAATAATCATTCTCCAATTGATTGTCTTGTTCAAATTCCCATACAGTACTTGAATTCCTGTTGCCTTAAAATATTTTCTATCAAGAACCAGATAATAAATATTTTGACATTTGTGGGTTATACAGTCTCTGTTCCACTTATGCAACATTTTTGATATAGTACTAAAGCTGCTAGAACTAAAATGGAAAAAAAATTCAGGTGGTAGTGATGCAATGAAACTTTATAATAAAACATCTGGTGGGCTGAATTTGGCCTGTGGTCATAATTTTTTCAACCCTTCATCCAGTTTATGACTAACTTCCTTTAATGGCTGGAGACTAGCCATAATCTGAGATAGCACTTTTTAGCATTACAATTGTTCTTTATAATTGAGCTGAAATCTGTTTCGCTTTAATATCTCTTCTAATTCATCGATGGGGCTCGTGTATAACATGTTTAATCTCTCATTGCCTCCTATAGCCCTTAAGATTTTTAAATACTTTCCTTCACTTTGCACACTCCCTGTTCTTTTTTTTTTTGGTACTGGGGATCGAATGCGGGACCTTCCGCTTGCGAGGTAAGCGGCGGAACCACTGAGCTAAATCCCTGGCCCTCCCTGTTCATTTTTTTACTTCTTTTGTTAAAAACTTTACCATATTGGTCACTTTACTCTGAAAATAATTATATGTGCTTATGGTAATTTAAAAGTTATTAATTTTCAGACTTTAATATTATTAAGAAAATCACTAATATATGTGGAAATTGCATTCATACTTGAAAGTTATCCCTTAAAATCTGAGGAAACATAGTAAATGTGTTATGTTTCATGATTTTTGTACTTCAGAATATAAATGAATTTTAAGACTATTAACAAAGTTGCAATATATTTTTAGAAACCAAGAGAATTTACTATAAGCATTATTTAATGCAGTAAAATAAAACTACTTTGTGATGTAGAATAATGTGGATGAGAATTTACTTAAAAGTCAGTCATGTATAAAAATTCACAGTTGAATATATAAAAATTATTTAAATATTTATGTTTTTATTTTAAACTTTTAAATTTCTGTGCATATTTAAGTTCAAAAGTTCTTTTATTTAGCAAAAGAAAGCTGGTATTAATATGTACCCTGTCTTAAAGATGATCCTATTTATTATGTTGTCATCATGGACAAAGTGAAATAAAATAGTCTTATTATTAAGTGAAATCAAATATATTTGAAGGGCTTTTTGTCATTTAAATTTCTTCCAGTAGTGAAATGTAAATTAGATAATTTAAAATCATTTCATTGTTAAGAAAAACAGCCAGAATATTTTGAAGTTTATTAATTATTTATGTTTTCAAAGGCCACAACTACATTTAGAAAATGTTTTTAACAAGTTAACATTTATGAACATACTTCAGTCAGGCCCTCATTCCTGCTATTGCTATTTCTAACCCAGGTCGGGAGACAGCAGAGATAAGTGCATGTGTCAGCTTTCAGTTTAGTCATAGCTTTTAGGGGCTACTTCTCAAATTCTGTATCAGTTTTTACCTCTATATCATGTAAGCTGTTGTGCTAGACATAATTAATTGATCATTAGAGGTGATTTATAGACATAGCTTGGATCTAGTCTTGGCTTTTTGTGCCATCTTAAGTAGGTCACCTAGCTTTTCTAAATTTTATTCCTTTCCTATATAGAATTAAAGGGCTTTTGTTGTTGCTGTTATGATGTGTGATATAATAGAGTAAATGACTAGAAAACCAAAAAGAATTATTTTTAAAATACTTTTTCTGTTGTGAAAAAATGAAAAATTAAGTGTGAATCTAAAATGTTTGAATTTTTTATTTTAAAGAAGTAAATTAAATGGAGATATGATAGGTTTTTAATGGTGTCAATAATTTTTGCTATACCACTAGTTGTAGTCACTATCTTGTAGTAACTGTACTGCAGTTTAGAAGATGTTGGTTTTTGAGGTCTATCTCGCTTTGATTGATCTTACTCTAAAGGCCAGAGATATGGTGTGGTACTTACTCCAACTATCTTTTATTTTTTTTTTCACTTTATTAAATTCTTTTATTGGTACATTGTAGGTATACAACACAATTACATTTCTCATTGGGAACTGCACCTTTACATAATGCA